CGCGCTCCCCGCCCGTTTCCCGGACGCTGCGAGGGCTGATCATTTCTAGGTGTTCTGGAGAGGGCAGCGAGGTGAGTTAAAGTGCACAGGAGGCCAGTGAGGGCAGTTTGCTTGGAAATGGCCGAACTGGCCACAGTTCAAGCACCTCTCGTTGTTAATGGGCACCACTGCCTCCCCCACCCCTTTGCTCACGGCCAGGGCTAAAGCAGTTTCTGAAGAAGAGGCCTTAGTGCAAGTCTGTGGGATGGTTGGCTCTGGATCTTGGGGAAGAGCTCCGAGAAGCTTTTTGGTTTCTGGGTTGGCGTTAGACATTGCCATTTTTCCCAGGAGTTCGTCCCTGGCCTCTACATTATCAATTTGGCGATCGATGGCCTCTGGGAGGTGGTCAACAAACTTAACAAATGTCTCTTCAACCCCTGATGGATTGAAGAAAAGTTTTGGACAAGGGTGGTTCCATCAGGGATTTTTAAAAGAGCAGTCTTTGCAGCAGATTTGATGTTATCTAAGACATTGTTGGGCAGCATGACCTGATCCTCTGGTCTGCTAAATTCCCGCTCTCCTGCCAAAGCCTCAATGCCTTCCTGGCCTTCGCCTAAAACTTCACTCAAGTCATACTTGGATAGGATTGGCTTTAAAAGTTTTTTCCACTGCAATAGTGCAGTGGTAATGTAATGGAAGGCGTGGGGAATTAAGGTATGTCCTGTGAAAGTTTAGTCCAATACATTTTTAAAATATGGAGAATTGCGGCCATAGTCTCTGGGGAATCTGCTCCCATCGCGGCTCCTTTCCCCGTTTAATGATGACAGGCGCCGCAAGGTAATCGAGATCTCTCACCAAGTCCAGGTCCCCATCCCGCAGGGCTCCTCCCTGATCCGTGTCCAGCCTCCTCCCGGCCTGTTGTTATTGCCGGGGTGCCGCCGTCCTCATCCTCTTCGGAAGGTGGGTCGGGGCGGGCTGGAGCGCGCAGCCTCCGGCTGAGCGGTGGGGCCCAGTGACTCGGGGCCTGCAGGCCAGCATGGCAGGCTTCCAGCCAGGCCCGCGTTCGGTTCCACGGCGTGGGAACCGGGATGGGCTGGAGAAGGAGGGAACCACCCTCAAGGGCCCACTCGGGGATGTGGGCAGGGGACAGAAGGGGCTGGTCCCGACGGTGACACCATCGACGCAGCTGCGAGCGCAGGGGAGGGACCCGAGGCAGGGCTGTACAACTGACATTCCTGGAGCTGGGAACCAAACTGGGGACAGGGCAGTCAGGGACAAGGGAGCGGGGAAGGCTCGGGCTGGAGTGGCCAGGGCCAGCCCGAGAGAGGGACTGAGTGGGGCAGGAGGCAGCAGGGAGTAGGTGACAGCCCTGTGCCCGTGGGCAGGGTCTGGCTCCCATCCCACCC